ATCACCAACACTGTCTGGACTATTGCAACAGCTGTCTAGCTGGCTTCTTCCTTCTACTCGCACCCCTTAAGAGCCTATTTCCCAGGCGGCAGATAGACTCCTTGTTCTTCAGCCTGCAAACCACTTTTCCATCTCATTTTTTTGCACTCCCGTTCCCACTGCTGGAACGCTTTGCCCTCAGACATTCACATCTTTTGTTCTGTCATTTCATGAAGGGTCCTGAATGTCGTTTCATCAGAGAGAACTTTCCCAACCACGCTATTGAAATAGTATTCTTTTACACTTCTTTCACATAAATTTGTGCATTTGTTTATTTTCTACTCTCCTAGCTAGAACCTAGTTTCATCAAATCAGACTGGGACTGCAAAGAAACAAAACTGCTTACATATACAGTAGATAGGGTTATTTATATAGAAAACCCAAAAGGATATACAAATTAATGAGGGTTTAGCAAAGTTACTGGATGTAAAAATCAACAACAGCAAAAATAAAAAGTAACAACTAAAAATATACCATACAAAAAGCATAAAATTCCGTGGAAATAGTAACAAAAGAAGACATTTATGGAGATTATAAAACTTTATTGAAAGACATTTAAAAGGCCTAAGTAAATGGAGATCTATACCACGTTCATGGATTAGAAGACTATTGTGAAGACGACTCTTGGCTCCCCAAGTTAAACTATAAATTCAATAGAAATTCAATCAAAATCCCAGTAAGTCGTTTTGCCTTGTTTTTAAATTTAGAACTTGGAAGAGTAAATGGTTAAGAATGCCCAAGATACTCCTGAGGAAGAAAAAATGTATGGTGATGTTGAGGGTAGAGGTGGGATTTGTACTCTATTATCAAAACTTAAAAAAAAAGAAATAGTAAGTATAGCAGTCAGGATAGTTTAGAACTGGCATAACGCTAGACAAATTGACCAGTCTATTAGATTAGAACCCATCAACAGATTCACATATACACATATATACTCAAAAATTTGATTTATGAAATAGTCATATAGATCAGTAGGGATAGGATGAGCTTTTAGTAAATGGAGCAGGAACAACTACTTATCCATAAGGAAAAAATGTTAAATTGGACTTCTACCTCACACATTTCACAAAAATCAGAGCAGACTAAAGGCAAATGTGAAAAGGAAAACTACAAAACTGTACAAGGCCATACAGGAGAATATCTTTCTGGCTTCAAGTAGGAAAGGATTCCCCATCTCCTGTCTCCAAACAGTTAATATTTAGCTTTATAAGATAACTTTCCAAAAACAATCATGTTACTCACACCAGGACATAGGCGACAATAACATTTTAAATTTCCAAATAAATTCCCTTCTGGAAAAAGGCATTATAAACATCAACAAAGTCCTTCTTATTTTCTTTTTTTAAGCTGCTATGAACAGGACAACTTTTCAATGGGATGGCCATCTCATATGAGGCATTTAGTTTAAGAGCTTTTCACAGGACAACTCTGATGTTGAGGGAATGAACTGAAAACTGCAGACTCCTCAATGGGATGATTCACATACTAAAACAGTAACTGTGGATCTTTCAAGCAACACACTCTTGATATCACCAGAAAGTCTGTATTGCCTGAATATTGTTACCCGACACTGCCAATTTTAGGGATGCTAGGGTCATATCAAGATTCATGTTTGAGGAAGTCAAGTGTATGCTGATGATATCAGGGGAAGAGCAGAGGACATGAA